AAGTCGTGTCCCCTGTTGGGGCTGTGCACCTCCTGAGTTAGATGGAGGTCCTGCATTTTGGCTAGGAACTACATGAGCGGTCAGACCTGGCTGACTGCTCTTCCCAGCCGATGTCTGGAAAGTTCAGGTCACCCATGATGACCTTGTCCTTTGACCTAACTACCTCCGTGAGCTGACTTAGGAATTCCTGGTCAAGCTCTTCCCCTTGGTTGGGTGGTCTGTAGTAGACCCCCACCATTAAGTCTTTTTCCCCTTGACTGCCTTGTATTCTATTATTTGTTGGAGCTGAAGATATAAATACCCAATACCTGTGGGTGCACACTTCTCATAAGACAACCACTCTCTCTCCAATCTCTCAGTTCTAATCTTCAAAGTGAATTTATAGAACACCTTTCTTAGAAGAGCCTATGAACTTCACTTCATAAATCTTTTGGATACAAAAAATCATGGACTAAATGTAGACATTGGATTTATGGCACATTATAACCTGCCAGCCATCTGATAACCCCAGGTAACCTCTCTACATCTTACCAGCTACATCTTATCACCAAGTCAACATCCCTTTTTCCCCACACCCCCTACCAGTCTCGCACCTGTTGTTTCCCATGGCCTCTGATCCTCACTGCCACGTATTTGCATTTTCACTGACCTGCATTTTGCATATTGTATTCTATTCTATCTGGGACAGCACATAAAGCCAGCCAACTCTCCCTATACCTGAAGGAGGGTGTTTGTGCCCAAAAGCTTGCAAAGAACAATTTTTCTAACTATTTAGTTGGTCTAATAAAAGATATCATGTTTACCCAAAGAACCTTGTCTGCCTATGTCCTTAGACCAACAGGGATGCAACCAACAACCCTAAAATTATAACAGGCATTTATAAGTGCTACCTGTAAGACACTTGTTCTATGGTGGTCACTTCTTCAACTTTACAGTGCAAAATGTATCTGATTTTAAGACACTTGACTGACAAATATTAGAAATGATATGATTGACTTCACAGAGAGTCTGATCATTAATGTGGACTAAATTTTTGTGTGTTCTGCATGCGAGAATATTTTTAAATAGTCAAACATACATAAGTGTCCTTGCATGACTTTAGTCAGCTGCTTGCTTGGGGATCATCTCCATGTCAGTGTAATCAGTAGGCGTGCTAGCTGCTTTACAATTTGAAAATCAACACATTATTAGTTTGTGCTTGAATATGGATTATGTACCTCACACTTCAGTCCTGTCCTCTTTGCATCAGTGTTTCTGTTTTATAGATGAAAAATGTGTCAATAAATGCTAAATAGTATTTTTCCCCATAAAACTTGGCTGGAAGGCTTGATCTAGGTCTTTTCTTTAAACATCATAGAGGCAAGCATCTTTTAACAGTGATTGTATTTTGCGAAGTTGACAAAAACCTGTTTGTAGGATACACTCTTATTACATCAAAAGTGAATTAACATCTCATCCAATCAGTTTTGCTTATGCCATTAACATAATGACTAAGCACATGTCTGTGCCTTCTGGAGTGTCCCATCTTTTACACGGCAATGGGAATCCATGATCTATCTATACCCAAGGTATCTTGGGTGAAAAAGATAATTAAACATAACCTTTAAGTCAGAGGAATTGCTTACTCCCTAGTTCAGAGTAGGGGAGTGGGGGGCCTTAGGTTGCTATTTAAAGATGTTCCCTACCTCTGTTCAGTGTACTAGAGGAGGCAGAGCAGATTGCAATTACTCCAGCATCAACCAGAGGTTAAATCAGTCCATCATATCTATTTGTGACTCTCCAGGTGTTAAGGTTGTACCAGACTTTAACTGATTTATGACCTCACAGAGACAAAATCAGTTTTCCCCAGAGTTTTCCTGTTCCTTCCTGTTATTTGCTAGTGACAATCAGTTCTCCTTCCCTGATGAACTTGTTAGTTGCTGGCTTCCCATCACTCTCAGGCTGACAAAATGACCCACCTGAAATAAGTCCTAACAGCACATTTTCTCCCAGATGCTGAGCCAGGAAAGAGGATGAATCCTAAGTGTTCCTCTGCCTCTTCCTTCTGAGATGACAGCTTGTGTCCTAGATCATAACAAGAAATGCAGGAGGATTCCTTTCCCCTAATAAAGTGAAAATTCTAGTCAAATGATCATGCAAGTCCTTGATCTCCAAGAAAGACTGGAGGAGATTGTTAGCTGCAGGCAAACATTTTTCTCAAAGCTCCAAAGATGAAGCAGTCTTTTGATTGCAGCAGGGAAAATGTAATTAAAGCAAAGTAGAGCAATTGAATAAATCAAGTTTGATAAACAAAAGTGATATTCAGATTCTTTAGATTGTCCTAATCCCCAAGGAGTGCTCAACCAACCAAATAGCATAACACTGGCCTTCTGACCTTCCTCCCGGGGAATTGTACTGTGCCTTTTCCAGAGAGAATAAGGTACTATAGGCAGGAAGATCCAACCAGTACTATGCTGCTGATATCAGTTTTATTCCTTTAAGCATTGTCCTCATCCGTGTATTTTCTAGTAGCTGTTGTTTTGTTGCACACAAATGAGACAACAGACTCTTATCACAAAGTTGTTTGTTAGTAGCCATTGCATCTACAGGGATGGTCTTCTCTCCTGTGTGGGGAACATATCTTCTCAGGCTGAGGAACAGTATTACAAATATTCAAACCAAGTAGTTCTTCAGTGTCCGCAAAAGCTGTACACACTTTTTAAGGAGAAGATGGACGAAAGGATGGATCTTCACTGTAGTTAGTGCAGTAGAGGTACCCAAGTTAGCTATAAAGCTTTAAACGGAGCACCCACACTAAGACCTATAATGTATCTTCTGCTTCTAAACCAAGACCAATACAGTACCTTCTCCTATAAATCTCTGAGATGCACTGGGTTTCTTCATAGACTCACAAAAGCCCAGAAGCTTCAAAGCAGATGTTGACCTGAAATCCTTGAGCAGTCATTAGTTCTCAGTGGAGACACTTGTCCATTCCAGCAGCTGGTCACCCAGGAAGCAATGGGATTGTATTTGTCAAATGGATCTTTACTGCCTAGTCAAGAAGTCACATAAGATATTTTCTTGACAACCAGTGTCAGATCTACAGATAGATGACAGACCCTGTTCATTTGCTGCTGCTTAGATGGGCCTTACAGGAGGCCTTTTTCATATTTTCCTGTAGGCCTGTATCGGTCTCCAGCTGGTTATATCCTTTCTGTAGAGGACTGGTCAATGTGGAAGCAAAATACTTGATTCTTGTCTATAAATTAGTTTTCTGGGGGGAAAAAAAAAAGCAACCACCTGCACCAGCAGCAGCTCACCTTGCATTAGTCTGTG